GAGACAATGAGGCCCCGCTGGTGGGGGAGGAGGTGAAAAGGACCCCCAAGAGCCTCCTACTTGCCTGTCTCCATCCTTATTCCCTGTTTCCCTCCCCATGGCTGGGACTGGCTCTTCCCCAGGCAGGAGGCAGCAAGCCGGGCTGGGCAGCAGCCATCCCTCTCCAGCACCAAAGCCCTGGGCCAGCCTCGCAGGTAGCACCTGCGAAAGCAGCTCTGCTGCTGAGAGGGGGGCCTGCTTTGCCAAAACCTAAAGCCCGCTCAGGGAGGTGCAATAGGAGTTGGCATCACTCCAGTTACTGCCATGAATAAGAAAGATTTAGGCGGTCGCTTCACTGAAACAAAACAAACCCTCCTTGTGGGTTCCTACCTGTGTACTTTGATAACTGAAGGTTGGTCACAAATCAGGTTGGTTTATATCTTGTTTTACAGGAGGGGAACCAAATTCTCAGAAGACTTGGCACCAGATTTTTGTGAGAAAAGCTCCAGTGTGGAGCTTTTGCCCAAGGAGTTTGACTCTTAGCTAGCCACTGGAGAAGTTACTTGAGCTCTTTGAACCACCTGGCCCCGTTCTGCAGGCACCAAGCACTCCCAAACGCGACCCATGCAGGCTTCCCAGGAGTTCCCTGGGAGCTGGCGCAAGGGCTGGGACCTTGGCTCAGGCCCCCAAAGCACAGCCCACCGAGATACACAAATAGCTTTTTTTTCTTTTTAATTTATTTATTTTTTCTCCCCCTTTCGACAGTGGGCATTCGTTGCATGGCTCTGCACACCTCCTCTCTGCAGCAGCCTGATCCTGGAGACTAGAACCAGAGTAGCACCTCATCATCTTCTCTTCCTTGTCAGTGCCAATGGTGAAGTTATCCCTCTGGATAACATGTTCCTGGTGCAGGAAGCTGATATTCAGTAACCTTCGACATCTCAGAGCATGCATTGGCATTTCTAATCTCATTGTAAATGGCCTGTCACATCTCTTGCTCGCTACTGATAACTCAGAATAAAACAAGATCAAAAAAACCAGTGTTGTCACAGATGTCTCAATTTTGTAGCATGTGTGACACCTTGCTATCGTAGTAAGTTGGGGTTTTTTATCTGTGGGTATTTTGCAGGAGTAATTACATTTCACTGCCAGCAGCAAAGTATGTAGTTACAGAGTTGAATCCAGCCTTATTCCCATTGATTCAGTAGGATTTGTTCACATCACTGTCAGATTTGGAAACCACAGACAGTTTAGTTTTCTGTGCTTATACCCACTAGACGTCTCTTGGCACTGTGAATTCAGGGCCAAATTAGTTAACGTGCATGCAGACATTTTCTTTTGTGCCACTTAGTAACTTTACGTCATTGCCTTGAAAAATGTTACTACAACAGTTCGCCTGCTAGAGAAAAATATATTAAGACCCACACTCGATTCATAAGCAAGTTTTAAAGGTCATGTTTTTCAGACAAATCAGATTGTTTCAATATATAGGCTTCTTTTGTAAGCTTTTTAAGACTATGGTATTTCAAAACAGCAGGAACTCATGCACCCCACTTATTACTTTCCACTACTCTTACTACTGCTTATGTGTTGTAATACTACTCCACGCCAATATGGCAGGCTCAAAGGAGCCAAGACTGTCGTGGAAAAGTTCAGATGTAAAAATCTGGGACTTGTGAGAAGAGGCACTTGCTGGAATTATAGCGTTTAGTGCATCATTATCATTTGGAGCATTTAGTTAATGCATTATTATTTTAGTCACTTATTAAATTTGAAAATCAAATATCAAACTGATTGTAGTGTCTGCCACCCAACAGGTATCTGATTAGATTGTATAAGGGCACCCACCAGGAACGGCAGCAAAAGGACGTATTTTTATGGAAAAAAAAAGGACGCCCCTGCAGCGCGCACGTAGAGCAGTGCCTGCGTGCTCTGCACGCTTGCAAGAAACCTCCGTCCTGTTGTTTTGCATGGAATTGCAATAAAAGTACGATTTTCATTTCTGAAAATGTACTACAAAAATAGGAAGTTTCATAAGTAGGAACAGGTTGGTAGTGTTAAATCTTCTTAATACGTTAACCCTTATTTTGGTTCCACAAACAGGTGAATTCAGAAACAAAGTGTTTACTAAGTCTAATAGAAGCGGGATCTCCCTTTTTCTCTGTATGAAGTTAGATATTCATGCTCTTATAATTTCTCTTGATATGTATTTTATCTCTCAACATCTGTTTTCAGCTGCAGTTTTACAAGGCTTCATTATAAGCTTTCCATTTCTCAAGCTTTTCCATGTAATTATACAATTACTATCCCTGGTTTCTGCTTCTTTTTTATGTTTTCCTTTAAATAATTGAACTTATATGTTACATCCATAAAGAAAATTGCCAATAATTAGCAGGAATACAATTAGGAATAAATCTCTGTTAAGGAACAAGCTAAAGTTCAGTGTCTTTATGCAAATGCCTATCATTGGAAAGATGTCTTGTGTAATCAGGAATTATACTGACAAGTGAAGAATCATTTAATTAATGAGAATATAGCAGTCATTTGGATGGTTCGTTCTATTACTGACTGAATAAAAGAGAGAAAATATCCCTGCTCAGGGATTAGAGCTGCTGCTGGAAGAAATAAGCCCCACAATGTTGTTCTGTTATTGCCTTGTGTAGATAGTACAGTAATTCCTAAATATAAAAACACATATGCCAAATGTTTGGATTGGGCATCGAAAATTAATCTTCTATTACTCCACAAGAACTTATACAAAAGGGTTCTGTTTATGCCGACTATCTGCTGCTCCTGCTAACCTGTCAGGCTGGAATATTTGGGCCAAAATACTCATGTAAGTCTTAATGCAGGATGCTAGGGCAATGAGAACCAGAATTATGGTGAGTTATGTCTGTAAGCACTGTATGCCATGATAGAGCGTAGCGTATGGACTGTGTTTGCAGTCGCAGAGGAGTAATTATGGTAGGAAAGGACCTCCAGAGGTCTCCAGCCTAGCCCTCTGCTCCAAGCAGGTCCAGTTAGGTCAGGTTGCTCGGGGCCTTGCCCAGTGGGCCTTTGAGTATTGCCAAGGATGGAGATGCTGCAAATTCTCTGTTCCAGTCTTTGACCTCTCCCATTTTCCTTTTATCTAATCGGAATTGCTCGTGTTCTGGTTTGTCCCAGCTGCATCTCTTCCTGTTACTGGTTCTGGCTCCAGCTTCTCCACATGGCCCCAATAGGCAGCTGTAGGCAACAATGACAGCTACAGCAGTCCTGCGTATGGTCCCTATACCTCTAAAGCGCCTCTGAACATGGATGTCTCATAACAGCTATTCTGTCTCTTGCAACAGAACAGAGTGTCTTTCTGTCCTTGAATTATTCCTGCCCCCTCAGGAAGCTTCAGGATGGGGCTTCCCAATGGGGCATTGGGTTTGGGACAATTCAAAATTTAGCCCAGGAAACTCTGACCTTGTTCACCATTCTCCAGGGCTGGACTTTCAGCAATGTACTGTCAGCAGGCATTGCACAGAATTTGTCCCACTTCTTATAAATGCAAAGCTATGCAAACAGGTGATTCTGGCATCTCTAAAGCCACGCGTATCACCTGCAGTCTGTTCCTCAGGGGCACTGTTCCCTTTGGTACAGCACAGTGGTGGACAAACAGTTCCCCTCTGAAAGGTCAGGATCTCAGCCACAGGACGTACTCCTAGGTAGGAAGCAGAAACTCCAGAGCTGTGCTGGGATTTAAGCCACTGATGGCTGCATGAAGTCTCCTATTCCTGGTAGGACCACAGTGTAAGTATATGGTCATTTGGATGTGCCATAGAAAATGTAGTGGCTTCATTGACATGCCTACCTGTTCAAGTAGCATTAGAAACTGAATGATCTCTGTATAGAGCAGTCACCCCGTGCTTCCAAGGTGCATTCAAACTCCTTTTCATTATACTGCATTTTTCTGAGGTTGAGGTAGACCACTGTATTGAGCTGTTATGGGAGCCCTGAGTGAGTGGGACAGCTTTTCTTCCTTCTTCGACGCAGTACAGTCTCTGGTAGCAACATCCCAGATCTCTGCTGGTTTGTGTGCACTTGGATTTTTTGCATGCTGTGTCAAATGATTGCACAAGTAATTGTTTGCCTTACAACACTGAAATGAAAACCAAATTTATTACATGAAGGAAAACATTCCCCCTGTTTTATTCTTTTTTATTCTGGGTAATGCACAGATGCACCCAGCTGCTACTCTAGTCACTTCTGGATGTTGTCAAAAAAACACTCTCCTCAGGAATAAATGAGCTAAATATGAAAATTCTCATTCCTCGAACTATTCATCCCGCAGGAAGTCTAGTTAAATACTTTGGCCTTGCAAACTGCCCAGTAAATCTTTGGCGATGGGCTGGGTACGTAGGTGCAAGGACGAGTGAATTCCACAGCAAAGAACCTTCCTATGGAAATCACTTACCAGCAGATCGCACGCTCCCATTGAGCAAGGTTAGTTTAGGTCTTTACTGACTGCAACTGCTACGGTTCTGCTCTCTCTCCAAAGCAGCAAGCAAAAATAAAGATCAGTTTACAATAAGGTAACCTGTATCCTGTGGTACATCTGAACTGTATTTTCCTTCTTTTTTTTTTTTTTTTTGATTGAAATGTCTCTTCTTCAGTGATTAAAATGCAAAATATATATTGTCAAATACCTAATGCGCCACAAAAGTCAATTGACACAGTTTTTAGTGAAAACCAGTTAAGAAAATACAGTATATTAAGTAAAGCATTTTCATTAAGGGTCTTAAAAGAAGGAAAGAGAGACTGGTATGTGCTTTCCTGTGTCTAGAGTGGAGCATAGATATCCATACGCTCAGTCTTACAGGCAACCCCATATTCTGGCTTTCTTTTCTGGCTAAATCGGTCCATCTGCATTCAGTAGCTGCTTGGCTTTCTGAGACACATGGGAGGGTTGCAAGTAGTCGGATTACATCCTCACGCTCTCAGGTGCCACCTCTGCAGCCCCACTGTAACCACTGACTCTGTGCTTTCTCCTCAAGGATTTTGGAGCTACAGCAGAACGGCGACATGGACATACTGAAGCATAAGTGGTGGCCAAAGAACGGTCAATGTGATCTTTACTCATCTGTGGATACCAAACAGAAAGGAGGTGCCCTGGACATAAAAAGTTTTGCAGGTGTTTTCTGCATCCTCGCTGCTGGGATTGTCCTATCCTGTTTCATTGCAATGTTGGAAACATGGTGGAATAAAAGGAAAGGCTCCCGGGTTCCATCAAAAGAGGTATTAGACCCTCCATTTCTCCTGGGGAATTTTCATGCACCCTAAAGATTGCTGCCTTGACTTTATAGTATTAGAGAGGGTGGGGAATCAAACTCAGAGACATTTCCTTAGCTTCCTGATTTTTTAAGGTAAATGTTGTTCCTCAAAATCTCTTTAGCTATTCTTTCTAGGAAAGCTTGAATGAAAAAAAATGTGTATTGATGATGTATAAATATGCAACTATTCTGAGTAAAACACAATTGTTATTTGTAGAATAGTACATTATTAATACATCAATATATAGTTCATTATTCCCATTGCTGAGAGCTAATTCTCACCAGTAAGTTCAAAGGTTTCTTGGCTTCTTCTTGAAAGATATATCCCCTAAGCTCAGTGGCTGAGTCTTTCAAAATAGATTTGCAAAGTTTAGCCCTTTAATCAGCAATTAGCTTCTTAAATAAGCTTGTCCCCATTTTCAGAAATGCTAAACTCTTGAGACTTCCATGAACTTCAGTTCTCATTATTTAATCTGAAGGCCAGGGAAGCAAGAGTACGTTAGATTTTTCAGATTCAGACTTATTTCTGAAATCTACTACAGATTTGTTTCAGAAAATCTTGGACGGAGAACACGGGGAGATATGTTATTTTACACCAGAGATGAATTTGTTTCTACACCTGCATGTGTAACGCTTTCCTTCCCGTGGCAGTCTGTCTGTCCCTTTACCAGCCATCTGAGCCTTATGCGGTCTTACAACAAATTTCTTACCTTCATAATTAAGCCTTTAGCTCTACAAAATAGTAGAAAAACATTAGGGGAAAAAAAAAGTTATTAAAATGTACTTGGCAGCGATGCCCAAAGCTGAACCGAAATATGAGCTTTAATGTAGCACTATCAATTATAGCTTTTCTATCTGTGTAGCTTAGACACATCTGTGTAGCTTGTGGGGTATTGCTGTTAATTTGTGTGCGGTGGTCTCACCTTCTCTGCAGTTTCTCCATTGTGTTTATTCCTGCTAATCTAATGCTGTGTAATCAGGCAGGATTAATTACACTACCTAATTAGACAGCATTGGCACTGATGTTAGAATACGTTTAATCTTTTCTTGCCTGTTTTAATTCCCAAGCTTTTTTTGGTTCAAGATCTGGACCGGACCATTATTAAAAGAAAAAAAAAGAATCTCTAGTCTTTAAATTGGGTTTCTCAGGAATGGAAACCATATAGTTTCAACTGGTAAATTATTTTAAAAACCTCAAATTTACTTGATTGTTGTTTACCCAAACTTTCAGAACTTCATACTTCATATTTATCTGGTGCAAAACATAAAAATAAATAACAAAGGAAAAGAAAAAAACAACATGGATATTTTATATAACTATAAAATTTCCTATTTCAATTTTCAAATGCAGAGAAATTCAAGTGTATACTTTCCACAAATGGTATAATTTGGCCTCCTTGATCTTTGTTACGTGGTCATTAGCTTAGCATTTAAAATTGCATCTCAAAACTAAATTGAAAAGCTTGGCTCAAAACTGAGTTTAACGTGGACGTATGTGCTGAATGTCCCCGCTATCCTGGATGTGGGGGTCATTCAGCAAAGAAATACATCTTAACTAACTTTCTTAAAATTCATTTTAGCTTCCATGAAATCCATTGGCTCTTCCAGGCCACTAGTCCAGAGTCGGGGGTCAGATTGGGCCAGTTTGTGGTCAGCAAGCCAACCCTTTTTCCTGGTGGCTGCCATCTTGTGCTCCAGAATACAAGCATTTATACTGAAAAAAATTGTCTTATGGTTGCGAAGATAACATTTCGGTCGCGTACCAGAAGTAATCCATTCAATGATGTCTGCCTGAGTCTGCAGACAGCCTTAAACAGTAGCTCTGAGAGAAGTATGAACCGCCCCAGTAATCTCAATGGGATGTTGACTCTGAAGCCTGATGATAATTTAAATGTGAAAACTGCTGAATATTTCACTACTGATCATACAAGAGAGAAGAGGAAAGATCATATTATGGAGATATGCACAATCTTACTGTGAGTGGGTCTCATTTTGGTGTATCGATTGGGTGGAGATCGGGTTGTGGGCTAAGCATGGGAGAATATCACCGCTTATATATTTTCACTTGGTCTGACCCTAGCCCCAAATGCATCTCTGTAAGAGAAGAAAGAGGAATATTTTGAGTAACTTTTAGAGGCTCAAAAGTGATGAAATTCCAATCTTTTCCCAATTGGCATTTTAAATTACAAAGTGTTTGTGTGTTTTTTCAAAATAAAAAACAAACAAACAAAAAAACAAAAACAAAACCCTATGAGAAAAAAAAAAAAAAAAGGAAAAATATTTAGGACTGTCCTTCAGAGACATAGTCATGACTTGCACACACTACCAGAGCCTCTGTATATTTCTTTAGCTTCTGATGTGGCCCCAGTTCTCTTGCATCCGTATGCAGCTCCAAAGTTTTTAGAAGAGAGCGTTTGGTGAATGCGTTTGGTTTTGGTGTCACCTGTGTGGTTGTTATGTGCATCCATGTCTATGTCCACATGTGAATAAACTATAGATAGAAAGCTAAGTCCGAGAAATGGGCACTGCATTTTTTCCCTCCCATGATGAGTTCAAACCAAAGCCTCTGTGGTCAGCGATCCCTGATGCCCCGTTCCCTGCCCCTTTTCCCCTGGTTTGCCTCCCTGTCCCTGCCCTCGGAGGGTAAAATTCTGAGGGGAGCTGGCCTCTCAGTCTCCTTCGAGTCGGGCTCTGTGTTTGGCGTGGTACCAGTGCAAATATTCGGTGATCCGTTTTGCTAAGTAGATGAACTCCTGCAGTTTGTTCTAGGTGTGGACTTTTTCAGAGTGCTTGACTTCATTCCTAGACAAAGGAGGGATCTCAAGCCCGTTTGGTATGCTAGGAGTTTTGCCATTGATTAAGGGAGCTCTGGATCAAGCCAGTCATTGAGTTGCAGTAATCAAGGCTGGAAGTCATCAGTGCACATCTATCGGCTGCCTAATTATCCTCTGTGAGGTCCTAGAGTGTGAGATATTTCTAGTGGGCTGGAAGAGCCAGTAGATTTCACAGAGATTAAGGTAAATTTTAAGGTTAGTTGAAATCAATTTTTGTTCTGAATGAGCTGCACTACCTAGACTGAGGGAATACCCCTGTACGTGTAAACTTAATGCCGCTTTGAATTAAGCTTTGAATTAAGCAGTTCAGTAGAAATACCTATGTACAATACAGGTGATTTATTGTGTCACCCAGGACTTTCTCCTCTTTTTTTAACTTCCGTGCATTTAAATTCTTGATTATAACACACAAACCTGTTTAACTGAGTTCTTTGAGAGGGGAGATTTAAGAAGGAAAGGGGACAGAGGTAAGAGGAGGGATGATACATTATAATAAATACCCCAGGCCACCGTCTCTTCTTCTCACCCACAAGAGTGTAATTCCATCAGAATCAATGGAACTGCTTCTTTGTCGGTAAGGGGAGAATGAATCCCTCTTTCAGCATTGTAATTTAAAATTGCCTGGTGTACTCCTTTCTCTGTGGTGTCAGTGAGTCACCAGTGCTTGGATTTTTTCTGGAAGTTCAGCTTTTCTATGCCGCAATTTATAATATAAAGGTAAAAAGCAACCTGAGATGTTTTTAGCCCTTCCTTAAGCCCCGAGAGGATGACAAAGACGGCAACCAAATCCCTCACAGCCTCCCATGTTGACATTCAAACTTAGTCCTCATTGCAGAGTTGAAGAACTGGCATCATCCCAGGCATTTGAGATTATGCTTTGCTTTCCTGGTGCAAAGTTTACTGTTATTCAGCTGTTGCTAATCCAACCCACCTAGCTCCGAGCCTGGCTTTTCCTGATGGAAACCGACCGTAGCGCTTGGAAATCTGTTGTTCGGATTCAAGGTTTGAAGGTAGCTATGGTGTAAGGGTCTGCCTCAGTTTGGCTTAGCCCACCCAGCTTCAGGCAGTGGGGGTGTTTGCTGGTGATGTTCAGAGATGCTGTCAGCTAACAGCCAGCTGTAGTTAATTGTGCGTTGGGCTTCCCGAGCAGTTCGGATCGTACTGTGAAGCTTCAACCCAGCACAAATGGTGATGGTGAGCGGTGCCTCTTGTTTTTCTCATTCCCCAGGACGACAAGGAGATCGACCTGGAGCACCTCCACAGGCGCGTGAACAGCCTCTGCACAGACGACGACAGTCCCCATAAACAGTTCTCCACCTCGTCGATTGACTTGACCCCGCTGGACATTGACACTTTACCCACACGTCAGGCACTGGAGCAAATCAGTGACTTCAGAAACACTCACATCACCACAACCACCTTCATACCAGAACAGATCCAGACTCTGAGCCGCACGCTGTCTGCTAAAGCCGCTTCAGGTTTCTCCTTCGGCAGCATGCCTGAGCACCGAACTGGCCCTTTCAGGCACAGGGCACCCAACGGTGGCTTTTTCAGAAGCCCCATCAAAACAATGTCATCTATCCCTTACCAACCAACTCCTACTCTGGGGCTGAATATCGGTAGTGACCCAGACCGAGGCACCTCCATCTAAGCATCAGACCAAGTTTCTTCACTGCTTCTTTTTTAGGACTCCCTTTGCAAGGAGCAGCTGTAATATTGTGGGACTAACATGGATGTAACCTTTTTTCTTTTCCTTATTTTTTGGTTTCGAGGGGCTTTTTAATTTGTTTTGGGGGTCATTTTCTGTTCTTTTTTTTTTCTTTCTTTTTTTTTTAATTTTATTTAAGAATCAGGATTATTAGTAACAACTCTTCCTCCTCTTCTTCTCTACTTTCTCGGTCTGGTCTCCTCTGTCTCCCCTTATTCTCTTTACTACTTGAATCACTTATTCTTTGGTTTATCACCAAGTTAGGTTTTGGTTACTTCAGGCTTTTCATATACTTTAAATATAGGAAACATGCAGCGATTCATGCATAGAAAACCCCTGAGGATTACTTTACAGAAGGGCATTCGCTCCTCCTCCCCCAACGCCTTTTTTTACTATAATTGCAATAACTTAAACCTTTTTCATGTATTCTGCTGCATCCAGTCAGCGCTCCACTGCTGCGTGTCCTTTTAACTGTGGACCAAAGGCAAACCCTGCAGTTTAAAAAACTGAAAAATTAAAAAAAAAGGCAAAAAGAAAAAAAAAAGGAAAAAAATGAAAGCAAAACGAATTAAGTTAGAAGACCATTCAGGCCCCATAATATGAGAATGCAATTTTGTAGGATTACAAAAAGCCATTACTATGCCAGTAAAGACTACAGTTAAATCTACTTTTGCACTGCAACAGTGCATATGACCTTTATGTGATTGTACAGTGTTAAAAGTTTTTCTTATGTACAGTAAACTGTATCATATGGCAGAAGCCTCTGTTGTGTTAAATAAATTAGTATCTCATACATATATATATACATATATACACACAGGTATGTATATATATATACATGTATATATAGCTATAAAATGGCAGCCGTTGCTATTGCAATTCATTTAATAAAGCTTTAGTAAAAATGTGTTGTATACAGGAAAGATGTACAGTGCAGGGGGTCTTTTCATTTAGAAAAGACAGGTTGCTTTAATGTTATTCTGACTTGCATCGTTTGCCAACAGAGCATATTTTATACTTTTTTATTAGAACATCCGGGGCAATTTAACGTTTGTACCTAGATGTAACTCCTTTGGTTAGGTTTTGCATTGGCTATTGAGCATTCTATAAGGCTAACCTTGGTAATTTTACTTTTAATTAATTAGACAAATGGAACTCTCTCTTAGGTATACCACGTTCATGAACAACTAATATAGCTCTAGAGAAGTTGAAACATAGATCAAAGGTTAATAAATTATTTTCCAAATCAGTACAGTTGATCAATACAATAATGGTGTTAGTGGAGGAAAAAAAGCCCTCGAGAAATACAGATGTGGCCTTAATTATAATCACCTATTGTTCTAAGGAAAAAAAAAATGTGAACATGCGCTCATTTTAACCCTTCATACGTTAAGTTAGATTTAGAGGAGCTATGTATTTTTTACATTAGTGCCAACTGTATAGAACAAGAGAAAGAACAGCAGTGAGAGCAAAACCAGTGCCCGCTTCGGCACCAGCTTTTTAAAGTAACACTGTTACCTGTTAGAAACGTAGGAAGAGCTTTCAATTTGTAATCCTTAAAACTAAAAATGCGGTTAAGTAGAAAGCAAGCAGTTTATCCTGTGAGTTTTTTGGTTTGGTTTTGTTTTTAATGCAACCATACACTTATTTTAACCTAACTCATTCTTTGGCTAGGATTAATAGGAATCAGCCTATGTGATTTGCTTTAGGATAAATTAAAAGGTATATTCTTCAGATCTATTCTATTTTGATGCTAATTCTGTTCTGGGGGAGCATCTTGTACTGTCACTGTTTTTTGTACTAAATCTTCAAATATTGTCTACTGTGTAAGGCAGAACAAATTCTTATCGTGCGAAAGGCCATTTTGTTTCCAGGGTAGCAAGTGTCTAAAAGCATGCACAACTTGCTTCCCCCTTGTAACATTCATGAACTCATCCACACTTCTGAGTAAAATAAAAAAAAAAAGAAAATTTCTTTCCAACAAGCTACATAGGGACATACCAGATGTTGCAGTGATTTTAGCTATTAAAAAAACCTGTTAACCATGTACAATATTTAAAATAGGCCTATTTTGATGTGTTGCCTATTATACAGATACACAAAACACTTTTTGGAGGCCTCAGTTACAAATGGCAGAGCTTTCTGTGTATACTTTGTCTAAATAATTTGTCTAATAAAATTGTTTTCTAAACTTGTGTTTCCTCCTGTTTAATTGCTGAGTGCTGTGGGATTTTCGGTCTGTGGCAAGGCGTCCCCTCGTGAATGTTTTTGCCGCACCGTTACTGAAGGGGATTTAGCCCACGGAGATGGGATGAGCTCGCCAGGCTGCCGTGAGTCAGCTCAGTGTAGAGCATCCATGGAAATCACCGAGATTTACCATGTGTATCAATGTCAGGCTTAGATTTCAGAAAACATATACGGACAGCATTTCGGAGAATGATTTTAGAGTTCATTGGCACTGACATGTAAGGGACATGATTTGTACAAATAAGCATCCCACCTCCATCCTTTTTAGTGTAATCTAGGAATTTTCTTGGAACATGGTCATTGTTTTTATAGAATCACATTCTGCCATCTTCATGTGCACAGAAGTTAGTTTGCTCTGATACTGGACACACACTGCCTTTAGATTTGACAAAAGTTTTAGTGCGAGAGAATTTAGTATTTCATTCTGGCGTTCTCAATCCTTAAGTTTCACTAACTCGTTAAACTTAATGGCCTCGTCGTTAGTAAGTCATGCAGAATGTACTGCAATAATGTCAGTTGTGATGATTTAACTTGCCACATCCAAAGTTTGTCTGCTGGCTTTTTACATTCAGTATATTTCATTCACTTGAATATTATTTTTGACCTCTTACAATTTTCTATTAAGCTTAGCAGGCATTCAGGGGATTTCATTTTATAGTTTCAAAAAGACATTGGAAGGAGTCCTCAGTTCATTGCTACATTAAAAAAAAATCTGAATCAAGATAACATAGAAATCTAAAGGCAGTTAGATTATTGGAAGTGATTTGAGATTAAAATTTAGAGGTGCCTACGCACTAATGCCAATAGGCTTGTACGTCAGTGGGCACTAAATGCCTAGCAACAGGATGCTAGAAGCTTTTATAATTTGGCTACTTTTATTATTTCATAAAAATCAGCCAAGAGACAAGCTCTACTTATTTTCTCTGAGGCAGGGCTATGGTAAACTGAGGCACTGGCCCTACAAGCCCTTATGTACATTACAGTGTGTCTAGTAGGGGTTCCCTTAGCCACAAAGATGCTTGCATGATCAGGGGCCTCGTTTCAGGCTATTCCTGATCTGTAAAGTAATCACGACCTCTTGGAAAGTGCTGGCCTGCTGGCATCATAAGTCATGCACTTTAACATAGGCATTGTCCCTGTCACTTACGCTCACAGACGCGCTTCTCTAGAGCTGGGTAGTTTACAGATACTACTTACGTACTCTCTATAATAGGCTACATTAAGGCGAACCCTATGTGACACTTCTCCTCCCTTTCTTTAAATACAAATCCAGTGAAGTAATAGTGTTAAAGACTGTCAAAGCGTGTGCTGCAGTAGCTCCACTGGAAATACAAGCCAGCTGTATACAAAGATGAGTTCTTTGCATGGTGATTCCAGTCATACAACCATTTCGACATACCAGCTACAAGCAAAAAGCGAGCAGTGGAAGAAAACATATTTATCCGATTTCAAAGAATCACTTAGTAAGATGTTTCTGTTGACCAACGGTGAAATACCCGGTGATGAAAAATAGTCCTGCTGCACCAATCAAATGAATGATTATAGCTGTCACTGACAGCCACAGCATGACCAGAGCCAGTGTCTCCTGGGTTTCCCTCCTGTCTTCACAAAACAAAGTGCTAGTATCATTTCCCTAAATAGATCAGATTTTTTAGAATTATCTTCTTCTCTTTCTTCCCCACTCATGTAGGACGCTACGAAGTGATGAGAACGTAAAGCTGCCATTCTGTGCTTGAACAAATCAAATCTGCACAAAGGTGATGACATGAAAACTAGCTTCCCGTGTGCACGCACATGGGTTTAGCTGATGAAAAAATAGAGTCTCCAAAACAACGAAGGCATCGTACCAACACAGCCCCGCTTTACCCGTTTTTCTCTCAGTTCCGATAACCGTGTTTCCAACTCTGTGGAGCTGTTTTGAAATAAATGTCAAAATCTGCTCCTAAGAATGAGTCAAAGACAAAGTTTTTGATAAACACTGGGACATGAACACATGCATCCACACATCACATCAAGACCAGTGGGCAACTGCGAATGCATCATCACAACCTATCAGCTTGTCACGTCTCACACAAGGCGTCATTCGTGAGGTCAGAAATAGCCTCCAAAGAAAGGTCAGTGCAGGCAAAATGATTCACGGCCTAATGAATTCCTAACCTAAAAACTGTACCAATGCCCCAAAATTACAGGAGCCATGAATTTAATGAAAAAATTACCTTTCAAGAGGTATAGTTATAAAAATAAATTTATTATTTGTCAAGACTTACAAAATCTCCCCGCCCATCCCATTCATCACAGTGGCATGACGCTTTGCATGTACTACGGAATTTATTTCTACAGCATTCGTCAGAAGGAAGGAAAATCTTACAGCCTGAAAACTGAACTGTCAAGTCATTAACTACTGTTAATGGCTCCAGGTCACACAGGAAATTTGAGGCAGAAGCAAGAATTCAGCATCTCAGAACCAGTTCACTGCTGTAAGGGGAAAAATAAATCTTTCTTCCCCGAATGCTCAGAGAAGGACTTTTAGCTGAGGATACCGGGGCAAGAGGGAGGGAAGCAGGAAGCCAAGGAGAGAGTTGCACCACCCGAGGGGTTGGCAGTGGGAAGAGGCAATGGTTGTCCCAGTCACAGGCCAGAGACACAATTTCACCACTGCTCGTTCTGCCCCAGCAGCCATTTCAGACCAGTTTTGG